AGCTCGCCCGGCAGGATCTCACCGAGCGACTGCAAAGGAGGGAACCCGTCACCACTAGCCGAGGAGAGAGTCGGCCCCACAGACCCACCCCCCACTGGGTCTGAGCCCTGGGGGGACGGGGGACAATGGGGCCAGGCCGGGGAGCGGGGCCAGGGGCTCCCTGCTCTGCACAGACGCACTCACTGCTCAGCAGGATCTGGTCCTGGTGCGGCTCTTTGGAGAACGTTCCCCCATCGCCCCTGTGCCTGGCGCCCCCCTGGGAGGGGTCAGCCACCGAGTCTCTGTGGGGGAGGGGGGCTGCACCCCTAGGGCAGGGCTGTGTCATACCCAAACCTCAGCGACTTCCCCACAATCCCTCTGCTGTCCCCGCACCAGCCTCTTCTCCCCTGCTGACATGGGGGTGAGACTCCACGTCCAGATCAACCCCCCAGCCCCCTCCCTGCTCACCCCATCCCCTGCCTGCCATGGGGTGAGACCCTCCCCCTGCAGCCGCCACCCCAATCCAGTGCATCCCGGTGCCCCATCAGCCTTGTTCCCGCCCCGCCCGTACCTGTCACCGCCCCGGCGCCCGGCAGGGCCAGCAGGGTGAGCAGGGCCAGCTGGGCCATGGGGACGCCCCGTCCTGCGCCCATCTCCTCTCCCCGGCACTGGGCAGGGCGCGGGGCCGGCAGCACTAGGGGGTCGGGGGGGGGCACATGTCACACCCCGGGGGGGGCAGGGCTGGGGGGCAGCGCCCAGCATTGGCCAGGGGAGCCCGGCCCAGGGGCCTGCGCCCAATGGCAGAAATCCCTGCGCCGACCAGGCTGTTACCGGGCAGAGCAGCAGCGCTGAGCCTCGCCCAGAGCAGATGGAGAAATTGCGGTCAGGCACCGCTCCTGGGGCTGGCACTGCACGGCGGGGCCTGGAGCAGGGCGGCTCCGAACAGCCCAGCGTGGGGACTGCACTGCTAGGACAGGTTTCTTCCCGGTGCGGACATGGTGCCGCCAGAGGGGTCTGTCCCCGGTGCGGACACTGGGCTGCCAGGGGGCTTTGTTCCTTGTGTGGACATGGCACCGCCACAGTGGGTTTATCCCCGGTGTGGACGCGGTGCTGCCGGGGGGGTTAGTCCCCAGTGTGAATGTGACGAAGTGGGACTGTCTGTACAAAGTGCAAGCTGGTCTCCATATTGGAAGAGAAGGTTCGGGGGCTGGAGAAACGAGTATCGACTCTGCGTTGCATAAGGGAAAATGGACAGACGTCAGGAGATGCTTCTACGGCCACAATGTTCTGAAGATTCAGAACAGGCGCAGCAGGGACAGAAGGATTGTGAGGAGGTTTGGCAGCATGTTACCTCCAGAAGGAGAAAGAGGAGCGTCCATGCACCAGCAATGGAGATACAGGTGAGCAATCGTTTCCATGTTCTCTCTACAGGTACTAATGCGGAGAGTGGACTAGATGGCCCATCTGAGGGAAGGGAGCAGAAGGAGACTCCACCGATTGGAAGGCAAAAGATGCACTGTCCTAGGGATGGGGGTTCCACGACCACCACTCCCAAGAGGAGGAGGAGGGTGGTGGTGGTCGGGGACTCCCTCCTCAGGGGGACTGAGTCATCTATCTGCCGCCCCGACCGGGAAAACTGAGAGGTCTGCTGCTTGCCAGGAGCTAGGATAAATGATGTGACGGAGAGACTGCCGAGACTCATCAAGCCCTCGGATCGCTACCCCTTCCTGCTTCTCCACGTGGGCACCAATGATATTGCCAAGAATGCCCTTGAGCGGATCACTGCAGAATGCGTGGCTCTGGGAAGAAGGATAAAGGAGTTTGAGGCGCAAGTGGTTTTTTATTCCCTCTTGGCTGTGTGACAAAGAGGCCAGGGTAGTTGCCATCTGATCGTTGGATTC